ACAGAGAGGAAGGGAGAGAGATAGAGAGTTAGAAACATCGATGAGAGAGAAACATCGATCATCAGCTGCCTGCACACTCCCTACTGGGGATGTGCCCACAACCCAGGTACATGCCCTTGACCGGAATCGAACCCGGGACCCTTCAGTCCGCCGGCCGACGCTCTATCCACCGAGCCAAACCGGTTTCGGCAATATCTATTTCTTCATTCACCTTCTTTATCATGCGTCTCCCCACAAAAAAATGTGAGCTCTACAAGAGTGGAAGTTTCTGCCTGTTTAATTCACCCGTGCCTACAAAAGTGCCTGGCTTAGGCTAGGCACCCGACATGTAAATAAACAAAGCTGTATTTGCCAACACTCAGGGCCAGCGCTGAACAAACATGTGCTGAGAGAAATAAATGCAACACCTTCTGGGCACTTGGCAAAGGGGTTGATGTTGCCACCCAAGGTAACATTTTACAGGGAATCGTGCCAACAATGGCGGTAAGTTCTCCGCAGTTATCCTCAAAACCGTGCTGTGAGGAAAGAGGAGGAGCCCTGTTTCACAGGGGAGAAGAGAGGCAGGGAGTTTCAGGACTTGCTCAAAGCAGGGACTCCGGTGGCCCGAGCATTCGACCACTATGAGCTGGGGTCATGGGCAAAGGTGTGACCACAGCAGGGGGCATTCAACGAGGGTGTCCCTGGAGGAGACAGATGGATGGGATCTGCGATGGACAGTAGGGTCTGGGCATGGAGACCCCCTGGGGATACTGAACCCCATCACTCTATATTCTAGAGTGGGCTCGGGGATTGAGAGGTAGGGAATATTGCCAGGGGGTCAGATATTGACAGAACGTGGGAGGTGGGCAGGGATGGGACATTTGGGAGGTCCAGAACCATGTGAGAACGAGCGGTTAGGAGGTCCAGTGTTAGCGGTGATGTCATTCAGAAGGGCACCGCACCGTAGATTGTGGGCACAAGAGAATGTTTTCGGAATGAAACGTCAAGGGAGTCTAGAACCTTCTTGAGTAGAAAACATAGAAGGATCTAAAATATTGGCAAGGAAAAGACTTTGTATGCTTATATGCCAGTGATGGCAAAGCTTTTGAGCTCGGCATGTCAGCATTTTGAAAAACCCTAACTTAACTCTGGTGCCGTGTCACATATAGAAATTTTTTGATATTTGCAACCATAGTAAAACAAAGACTTATATTTTTTATGTTTATTTTATATATTTAAATGCCATTTAACAAAGAAAAATCAACCAAAAAAAATGAGTTCGCGTGTCACCTCTGACACGCGTGTCATAGGTTCACCATCACTGACCTAGGGCCTGCTTCCCCCTGTGATTATAAGCAATGGGGAGGGCAGGAATACAATTTTCAAGCGCCATGTCTACTCAATAGATCATGCATGGAGAAAAATACGACCGGGATCTTAAATAGCTCCCTCCTTCCCAGGAGCTGCTGCCACATCCGCTCATATGGGTTCTGCAGAAGCAACACAGGGGTGGCTGAAAGCAACCAAGCTTCTGGCATTTCAGGCCAATGAAATCCCTGTCCTTTCACTCTCAAATAAATAAAGCTTTGAACATTATCATTACTATGGTTCTTTAAATGAGTCCCCACTGCCTCATGCTCCCCACTTGCAGGGATTCCATTTGTCTTCGTGTCGGTGCCAGGTCTGGGAAGCTGACATCTCCCCAGCAGGGTGAAGATGCAACACCCTTCTCCGCTGGGCTGACCCTCCCTGGAGATGCCCAGTGGGGCTGAGTTACCACCTGGCGGGCTTTCCTCATTAGCCCTTCAGGCAGCACGTGCTCCAGTCTGTCAGACTCAGGCTCTGGGCAGAGAACTTCTAATGTTTGACTAGAACTGGAGGGGTATAGAATATTTCCAAAAATGGTACATTCATGGGACATAGAATATCACTGGGATGGGCTGGAGGTACCTACGTGTTCCACAGACAGAACATTTAGATGGTGATCTGAGTTGATGCTGACACTGTTGGGAGACCCGGAAAGTATCCGGGTTGGGACTCTCGGGGGGACTGGGGTGTTTCAGGGATACAACGTCTGGTAGACCGTGATGCCGACGGGGACCGAGTGCTTTTGAAACACGGAATGTCATATCCGGGGTGTGACACGCTGGGAACACGGATCGCCAGTTCAAGCGGGACGCCCTGGGAGGGGCCGGGGAGGGCTGGGCAGGCTGCGGAAGGAGGGCTCCAAGGGAGTGAGGAGGTGGGTCAGTCAACCCGACTTTTATTGTGGGCCCTTCGTCCATTCCTGCTCTCGGGGTCTCTGTCCTCGGATGGTTTCTTGGATCCATGAAATGTATTGAGAGACGCGGGTGTAGACGCCGGGCCGGTTGGGCTGCCCGCAGGGGAAGTCTCCCCAGGAGATGATACCGTGGAGCCTTCCGTTGCAGACCAGGGGGCCTCCCGAGTCGCCCTGAGTGGGGGAGACAGAAAAGGGGGGGAGGGGTCCTTGCTGGGGCCACACAAAGGCAGAGAGGGGGCCTTGTGGGGCGAGAGTGAAAGATGGAGTGAGACGGACATGGAGGCAGAGAGACAGACAGAGGACTATGGAGAGACAGTGAGCAACAGAGACAGGGAGGAACAGATAAAAAGACAAACTAAAAAACAAAAACAAAACCCAAAACAAACAAAGATAAAACTCAGAGGGACAGAGAATGAGAGACAAGTCCCCCCTGTCTTGGTGAGAGAGAGACACTGAGGCAGGGGGAGACTTCTGTGTCTCTCCGTTTTTTGTTTTTTGTTCCTCTAGCTCAATGGTTCTCAACCTTCCTAATGCCGCGACCCTTTAATACAGTTCCTCATGTTGTGGTGACCCCCATTTCATTGTTACAAATTGAACATAATTAAAGCCTAGTGATCAATCACAAAAACAATATGTAATTATATATGTGTTTTCCAATGGTCTTAGGCGACCCCTATGAAAGGGTCGTTCGACCGCCAAAGGGGTCGCGACCCACAGGTTGAGAACCTTTCATGGCTCCAACTCAGAGTAAAAGCCGATGTTCACACCATGGCCCATAAGGCCCTGCATGACACCTACCCCATACCCACCCCTGTCTGATCTCATCTCCTTTTCTTTTCTTTTTTTGTTAATCCTCACCCAGGGTTATTTTTTCCATTGATTTTTAGAGAGAGTGGAAGGAAGGAGGGAGGGGGAGAGAGAGAGAGAGAGAGAGAGAGATTTTATTCATTTTTTTACAGAGAGGAAGGGAGAGGGATAGAGAGTTAGAAACATCGATGAGAGAGAAACATCTATCTACTGGGGATGTGCCTGCAACCAAGGTACATGCCCTTGACCAGAATCGAACCTGGGACCTTTCAGTCCACAGGCCGACACTCTACCCACTGAGCCAAACCGGTCAGGGCTAGAATCCTAACTTTTATGCATGTCAACATCAGCATCTGGCAGCCACTGGCAGCCACAGCTGGGGCTTAAGATGAATTCTATTTGCCATCCATGGGTGCTCCCTTTTGTCTCAACCGTCTATTCTAGGAGACATCTCACCTTACAAAGACTAGTTCTCCAAAGGCTAGAAGCAAATCCTTTCCCTCCAGCATCCGTCCCCACCTCCATTCTGGCTTCCATCCTGGCCCATGGCAGCCCCCCACCCCAGCCCCACGTGGCCTCACCTCACAGGAGTCCTTGCCGCCCTCGGGGGAGCCGGCACACACCATGTTGCGTGTGATCCTCCCCGGGTAGGCTTGCCGGCACTCCTCATCTGAGCGTAGCTGGATGTTGGCACACTGTAAGGCTTGTGGGAAACTCACTGGGGAGGAGAGAGAGAAGGTCTGGGGATAACGGTCTTGGACAGGCTATGAGGCGGGAATTCAATAGGACAGTTGGCAGCAAAGAGAGATGGGAAGAGGGAGACGGGGGAGAAAGTGATGGAAGAGACAGAAATGTGGAGAGGAGAAATGGGGAGAGGTAACAGGAAAGGGAAGTGGAGGGAGAGATGGGTCAGGGAGCTGAGCGTGAAGAGACACAGATGGGGAGGGAGAGGAGGAGAGAGAACTGATGCATAAAGACAGAGAGAGTGGGGAGAACTAGGAGGACAGAGGAGGTGAGAGGGAATGGAGACGGGGAAACCCCAGGAGAGGTGGCAAGAATTACAGGAGAGGAGGGAAGGGGTGGGAAGAGAGATGGGGCATGCTGGGCCGAAAGACACAGAATCGAAGCTGGGAGAGCGCGGGGGTGGCACAGGGCTTTGCCGCTGTAGATCAACTTTATATTCACATACATATGTATACACACATATACATAACATCTATACACAAAGGATAAAGCAGTTTACATTTTATTATATTTAATAACTATATACCTACCATAGTATGCAATTTATATACAAATATATTTAAATAAATGCATGAATATAGAATTATAATTTAGAAAATCTAATGTTTATAATTTGCATATTTATATACAGATGTATAGTGTATATTTTAATTTTTTAAATGTTTTTTTAAAAATTATTATTGATTCCAGAGAGAGGAAGGCCATATATATAACATCTATACACAAAGGATAAAGCAGTTTACACTTTATTATATTTAATAACTATATACCTACCATAATATACAATTTATATACAAATGTATTTAAATAAATGCATAAATATAGAATTATAATTTAGAAAATCTAATGTTTATAATTTGCATATTTATATACAGATGTATAGTGTATATTTTAATTTTTTAAATGTTTTTTTTAGAGAGAGAGGAAGGGAGAAGGAGAGATAGAAACATCAATGAGAGAAACATCAACATCGATCAGGTGCCTCCTGCATGCCCCCTACTGGGGATTGAGCCTGAAACCCCAGCATGTGCCCTGACCAGGAATTGAACCAGCAACCTTTTGGTAGGTACATGGGCTGACGCTCAACTGCTGAGCCACACCAGCCAGGCATATAATGTATATTTCTATAAATATGCACATAATATGTAGAATATATGAAATTGTATATATTTATAAATGTATATAAAGACATATAACTGTATAGTATCTCTGTGGGTGCCGTCATCTTTGAGGGCGTGGTAGTCAATTAGCATATTTCCTCCTTATTGGCTGTGGGTGCCACCATTTTTGAGGGTGGGGCAGTCAATTAGCATATTCCCTCCTTATTGGCTGTGGGCGGCTGCATGAGGGTCAATTAACATATTCCCTCTTTATTAGGTAGGATATTTATGTAAAAGATATATATAACTGTATGCATTATGTTATATGTAATATACACATGTAACTACATATTTTCCTTGTTTCTTTAGAACTATATATTTTTTACTTTCATTTTTATATATAAAGGAATCTCGCCATGGCCAGGTAGCTCAGTTGGTTAGAGCATCCTCCCGATACGCCAGGGTTGTGGGTTTGATCTCCAGTCAGGGCACATACAAGAAGCAACCAACGAATGGATCAATAAGTGGAACAACAAAATCAATCTTTCTCTCTCTCTCTTCTTTCTCTCTAAAAATCAGCAAATTAAAAAAATAAAATGAATCCTCCTCCAACCTACTCTCCCGCCTCTGCCCCCGTCTCCCCGGCCACCCTGTGAGACCACCTGGGTGGGTACATACCCCGGGGGCTGATGGTGGTGCCCCAGCCAGACACGCGGCAGCAGGTGCCAGCCGGGAGGCAGTCGCTGTGGGAGAGAGGCAGGACGCGGATGTGGCTCGAGAGACGGACGGGCGACTGCAGCTCCAGCAGCATGATGTCGTGGTCGTGGTTCAGGTGAGTGGGGCTACTCCGGTACAGAGGGTGGGGAATGGAGCGGGCGACATCCCGCACCTGCTCTCCAGCCTCCTCGTGCCCCAGGATATGCTTGCCCAGGGACACTCTGTATCCGCTGTGGGTGCAGCAATGGGGTGGTTAGAGGAGAAGATGGGCCCCTCCCTACCCGCCTCCCAGCTCCATCACACCTTCCCCATCTCCTTCCACATCAACTCCAATCCCATCCAAATCCTCTTCTTCAAGTCCATTCCCATCCCCAACCCCCTCACTCCACCCAAACCTCATTCTCACCCAGAAAGAACTCCAACCTCATCCTCAAATGCAAACTCCACCCAGTCCCATTAGCACCCCTACCCCATGCTCCCCCGGCCCCCACGTACTCCTTCAGACAGTGTGCTGCGGTCAGGACCCAGCGGGGGTGGACGAGGACTGCCCCGCAGAGCAGCCGCCCCTGAACCAGCAGGGCTGCCTGCCAGGGCTGAGAGTGGGGAGGGCAGGTGTAGCCGCCTGGGAGAAACCCATTGGTCCCATTGGTGCTGTTGATAATCTTGGAATGGTCTTGAGAGACTCCTGGTAAAGGAGAGAAAATGTTAGGTTACAGGATGGGGGTTCAGGCAGAGGAGGCCTGGAGGTGTAGTTCTTGAGTTTGGGGAGAGGGTCAGAATTGGCTCTTGGTGACCAGGAACTGATGATTCATCTCTTGGGCTCTGGGAGTTGCCATTTTCGACGGAGCAGAGATGAGTCAGGGCAAAGAGATGACAGTGTCCTTTTCCACAGAAGCTATCCTCCATTGGGGGGAGGAAGGAAGAGTTCACTGAATGAAGATGTTTCTGATAAGCTTTCTCCTCACCTCCATTTTCTCTCTCATTCCACCATGGGGATGGGTCTCAAGAGGTAGAAGCAAGATGGACCTCCACAACCACCTAGGCAGCATCCATCCATCCCTTCTTCCCTTCATCCATCCATCCATCCCTTCATCCATCCATCCATCCCTTCATCCATCCATCCATCCATCTATCCATCCATCCATCCCTTCATCCATCCATCTATCCATCCATCACCCATCCCTCCATCCACCCATCCATCCATCTATCTACCCATCTGTCCATCCATGCATCTGTCTACCCATCCATTGTCCATGCATCCATCCATCCCTTCATCCATCCATCCATCTGTCTATCCATCCATCCCTCCATCCCTTTATCTATCTACCTATCTGTCCATCCATCCATCCCTTCATCCATCCACCCATCCATCCATCCATCCATCCATCCCTCCATCCTTTATCCATCCACCCATCTGTCTATCCAAGCATCCGTCTGTCCATCCATCCATCCATCCATCCACCCATCCATCGTCCATCCACTCATCTGTCCATCCATGCATCCATCTTTTTAACACCTTATTTACTGGGTTCCTCTATGGCTTCAAATACCATCCATAGGCTAACTACTCCTCAGTTCAAAGTTTGCAGGATTCTGAATCATCTGACCTTTGTTAATCTCCTCGACCCCACCCCTCGCCTCTCCCCTCTTCACTCACTCTGTTCCAATTTCAAGGATCTGTTCTCAAATTGACCAGGGCCTTTGCACTTGCTGCTTCCTCTTTCTCGACCGTTCTTTCTCCAGACCTGCACTGTTCAATATGGTAGCACTAGCTGGTGTGGCTAAATTTAGACCATCAAAACGAAACTTAAAAAAATTCAGTTCTTGCCCTGGCCAGTGTGGCTCAGTGGTAAAGTATCGGCCCTGGACCGAAGGGTGGCAGGTTCAATTCCCGTCAAAGGCACACACCTGGGCTGTAGGTTGATTCCAGGCCCCGGTTGGGGCATGTGCGGGAGGCAACCAATCAATGTGTCTCTCTCACATCAATGTTTCTCTCTCTCTCTCTCTCTCTCTCTCTCTCTCTCTCTCTCTTCCACTCTCTAAAACAATCAATGGAAAAATGATCCCCAAGTGAGGATTAACAAAATAAAAATTCACTTCTTCAGCCACACCAGTCATATTTGAAATGCTCAAGAACTCCAAGTGGCCAGTGGCCACCCTATTGGACACTGCAGATATAGGAGGTAGATAGACCTAGCATAGTCTCTGACACACAGTAGGTGCTCAGCCAATGTCCTGTGTGCCAGGCCCTGTATCTGGCCCTGGACACAGCCGTTGACAATGGTACAGAGAAAGCCCAATTCTGAATGTGCCGCTTTTTGCCTGGGGATCCCGTCACAAGCTGCCAGCCTCTGTCTTCTCAGCGATCCAGTGGGGGAGGGAACAGTTCCATCTCTCATGGGGCAGCCATAGGATTTGGTAAAATCCTACACCTATGACACACAGCACTCAGCAGGTGGCTACGATTGCTATTATTAGCTGCACCAGGAGGGCCCCAGCTGTGTGGCCAGCAGGCCCCTTTCCCCACCTCCATAAGCGGCAGGATTAGCCCAGTGGTTCTCAAAGTTGGGGACAGAAGTCACTGGTGGGCACAAGGTCATTTTGGGGGGGGGGGGCACAGGGATGAGGCGTAAGCAACAACAGATTGCATCCTCAGACACGGTCACTGTCCGGTTCACTTCCAATTCAGATCTTCACATGGATTTTTAGAGAGAGGAAGGGAGAGGGGGAGAGAGAGAAACATCCATCGGCTGCCTCCTGCATGCCCTCTACTGGGGATCGAGCCCACAACTCGGGCATGTGCCCTGACCAGCAATCGAACCCGAGACCTCTCTGTGCATGGGATGATGATCAACAAACTGAGGTGAGCTCTAACCAATTTGGCCCAGTGGATAGAGCGTCGGCCTGCGGACTGAAGGGTCCCAGGTTCGATTCCGGTCAAGGGCATGTACCTTAGTTGAGGGCACATCCCCGGTAGGGGGTGTGCAGGAGGCAGCTGATCAATGTTTCTAACTCTCTATCCCTCTCCCCTCCTCTCTGTAAAAAATAAATAAAAAATATTTTAAAAAAACAAACACCGAAAATATTTTTTTAAAAAAAGAGTCTAAGCAGGTCGTTGGGGCCTAAAATAATGCAGATGGACGCCAGGACGTGGGTGACGGGACGGGGCAGGTGGGGATTAGAACCCTGACTCAGGCGCTGCTGTCTCGGCTGGGCTCTCCTGTCAGAGGCTTGGCTTTTTCAGCTGTGAAACTGGAGTAATTACAGCTCAGGTACCTCCTCAGACTGTTGAGGATTCCACAAGCCAATGCATGTGGAGTTCCGAGCCCAGGGCGTGGCGCCCAGGAGGGGCCGGGGACCTGGCAGGGAGTCCTGGGAGTGTCGCCAAAGGAGACGAGGCACCCCACCTCCAGGCCAAGGCTGGTGCCGGGTGCCCCTTGGCCCCCTCCCTCCGTTGGGTCTCAGCTCCAGGACCTAGTCCTTTGGGGGAGGGAGGCCTCCTGGTTTGGTCCTTTAAAGCCATCCCCTCCCGCAACAATTGCAGCTGATGATTAACTCATTATTTGGGTAATTGTTGGAACGAGGTCTGCGTGCTGAGAGCAGGGACCCTGTCTGGATTGCAGAGCTGTGGGGTTTTTTTTTTAAAAAAAGAATTATTACTGAATTTATTGGGGTGCCATTGGTGAATAAAAGGATGTAGCTGTCAGGGTTACACGTCTATAATACATCATCTGAATGCATGAATGATGCGTGAATGGGGTTTCCAGAGAACTTGCCCACAAGGGCAGGGAGGTGTGGGGGGGCGGTTTACATGGGAGAGGACTGACTATGGGTAGAATCAGCTGGTCTGGGGTCACCCCAAGGGTGAAAGGAAGAACCGGGAGGCTCTGAGAACATGATTAAGAAGGTAACAGTGACGACTAACCAACCTCCCCTCCCTTCCATCTGCCAGGCAGTCAGCAAGCACAGACGGGCGTGACCCGGTTTCATTTCAATATTCGCACCAACCCTTTGTGGGCAAAAGCCCATTTACAGCGATGAGTACCAGGCGAAACGCGGGGTTTATGCTTGTATTATTATTATTAATTAATTAATTAATTAATTAATTTATTAACGATTGCATTATGTAAACCTACTTTTGCCCAGCCCCGTACGTCCCCATTGTACAGATGGAACAACCGAGGCACGAAGAAGCGAAGTCACTCTCTCAGAGTGGCAGCGGCAGGATTCGAACCCCTGTGGGTGCGACTCCTCTCCCTCAGGGAGGCCAGGAGGCCTGGAACGGGGGGAGGGGCTGGGGGTGGGCTTTCCAACGCGGAGTCAGAGAGGAGAGGGGGCCTTGCTGGGGACACTGGGCTGACCTCAGCCAGGAAACCAGGTCACTCCGGGGTAAGCAGGAAGTTTTCGGGGACCGTCCCCAGGGGAGGCTAGTCCTCGACCCAAGCAGCCAGTCCCTCCACCCAGCCCTGCAAGCTGGGCCCTCGGTGCACGCTCCGGCCCCTCTCTCCGGCCCCGGCCTCCCCTCGCAGAGCTGGTTCCCACACCTGGTCTCAATCTGAGCCTATCTCCCTGCGGCTGCAGCTCTCCATCTCTGCAGATTTCTATCTCTAACTGAGCCTCAGGTCTCTCTCTCCATCTCCCTGACTCAGCGATGCTCCCTCTTCCCCCTTCCATCACCCCCCCTCCCCTCCCCTCCAAAGCTCCAGCCCCTGCCCCAGGCGCACGCCACTTACCTGGGCGAGGGGCCCGGGTGGAGAGCTTCTGCAGCCAGCTGCCTCCAACTTCAGCCCCGACCCATGCCTTTTAACCCCTGACACCCTCCCCCAGCGCCCTCAGCATTTCCCGGTCGCTGGCCTACCCCTCTCCACCCCCGATGGCTCAGCAGGCTGTGCCAGGCACCCCCCAGCCTGGGCTTGGCCCTCTGCTTGGGGCGGAGCTTTCGGGACAAGCTGGGACCCAGATTTGGCTCCTCCCAAGCCCCAGTTGAACCCACAGTGAACTCTGAGGTGGCAGGACCCACCTAGGCGGAAGGAGATAGCCCATCACTTCCTTCCCCAAACCCACCCCAAATCCCCATGACCCTTCCCGGTAGCATAGCTGGCGTTCCAACCTCCACGCCAACCCTGCGCACCCTCTCCAGATACATCAGCTCCTAGAAGGCTATTTCCACCCTATTCCCATTTCCCGGCCTAATTCCAACCAGAACCCAGCCCCTGGCCTATCCCTCAAACCAGTGCCATTGTAGCTTTATCTCAAAATTATCTCGCAACATCACAAAACAAGGCACCTGAATTTCAGTTCTTGGCCTGGACGCTATCCCCAACTCCATCTCCAGCCCTTTTCCTTCCCCCAAACGCAGGGATGCCCAAGCGTATTCTACCGTCTGCCCTTCCCACCCCCACCCCCAACCCTCAGGCACAACAAGGGAATTCATTCTTCAGGTGGGTGATGGATAGTCAACTGTCCTTAAATGAGGGTGGGGGCAGGGGTTGGGTCTGGGGAAGCAATCTTTTGGCCAAATGGCCCTTTGTGAGCAGGGTCAGTCGGGGTCAGGGAGTCCACGGGCATGGAGGCGGCGCAGAGGGAAGCGCTCTGGGGGCTGGGCTGAGGGAAGAGGAAGGAGGAAGAGGTTGTTTGGGGAATGAGTAGGAGTCTGCTGGAATTGTGACTGGGTGGGGCTGTGAGTTAATTCTAGGGGGTGGAGGAGGCAGGATTAGGGATTAGGGAGAACCGAGGTGGGGTCAGAATTTGGAAGAAAGCCAGGGATGGGGGCCAGATGATGAATTCTGGGGAGGGTCGTGGTGTCAGGATAAGGATAAGGGGTTGAGCCGGACAGAGTGAGTGCTAACATCAAAACTGGTGCTGCCATATTGGGGAAAGTTTAAATTTGGATATAGGGATCAAATCTAGTGTCTTTTTAAAATTTGTATTTGTTGATTTTAGAGAGAGAAGGGAAGGAAGACAGCGTGAGAAAGAGAGAGAGAGAGAGAGAGATTTGCTGCTCCACTTATTCATGCATTCATTGTGTGTGCCCTGACCAGGGATTGAACCCACAACCTTGGCGTATAGTGACAATCCTCTAACCAACTGAGCTACCTGGCCAGGGCTTAAAATATAATTTTTTAAAATATATGTATCTCTTTATTGATTTCAGAAAGGAAGGGAGAGGGAGAGAGACATAGAAACATCAATGATGAGAGAGAATCATTGATCGGCTGCCTCCTGCACGCCCCCTACTGGGGATCAAGCCCACAACCCTGGCATGTGCCCTTGGCGGGAATTGAACCTGGGACCCTTCAGTCCGCAGGCCAAGGCTCTATCCACTGAGCCAAACCGGCCAGGGCTAAAATATAATTTTTTCAAAAAGATCTAACCATGACTCTCCTACATATATAAAGTGAACATATGTCTAATATTTTGATTCATTAATAAGTGATAAAACTATCAAGATGTTACAAAGAACCATAGGCAATAAGGCATGCTGAAATGAATTTATAAATAGACATGAGCTGTCTTAGCCCACATGGTGGGGAGAAGGTAATTGCACTTCTACCTGGTAAGACTCATTTGCGTGGTTATGGACAAGAGTTATTTGCATTGCAATCAGCTGTCCAGAATTTACCGAGTTGTAAAGCAGCTCCAAGACAGTAAAAGCAGCAGAGACCCCAAAAATCAGTTGGCCCTTCTAGTTTTCCATTGACGTCACCCATTGCCTTCACAATATCAATGTCGTTCGCAATGTTTCCTTACACCAGGGAGAAAAGTTCTTGGTCATGTTTAGGATGGGTCTGATGACAGCACTGGGAATGCAAGTGAATTTGGGGAGAAGAATGGATGTGTGGGGAAGATGAGGCTGGGGAGTTGGTGTAGGGCAGTGGTTGGCAAACTCATTAGTCAACAGAGCCAAATATCAACAGTACAACGATTGAAATTTCTTTTGAGAGCCAAATTTTTTAAACTTAAACTATATAGGTAGGTACATTGTTATTAACTTAATTAGGGTACTCCTAAGCTGGCCTTTGCTAAAAACGTCCTCAATCTGATTGAGGTACATTCGCTGAGGTCGACCCCTTTCAACTCTCCCATCCACACTCGTCTTGTATATTTGTTTCATCTATCTCCTTTCGTTCATCCTCTCTATATGTCCACCCCCCACTTCTTCTAACGCCACTTCTTCAAAATAGACTCGACCAGGCCGAAACCGACTTCTGCTCATGGGCCACGGAAGTTTCAATAGCACTGTACGTGCGCGCCCGCACGTGGTATTTTGTGGAAGAGCCACACTCAAGGGGCCAAAGAGCCGCATGTGGTTCGAGAGCCACGGTTTGCCGACCACTGGTGTAGGCCCTACAGTGTAGGGGATAGGATTGAGTTGTGGTTGGGAGGTTTCTGGCCATAAGGCTGTTGATGGAGTCCTCCCGTTGGGCTGGGACTGGGGATGGGGCGGAAACTGAAGTTTTGGATGGGGAGGTGTTGAAATGCATTTGAGTTGGTGTTATGTATGGATCGCCATGGTTAATGAAGACTGAGCTTGAGTGTCTGTGTTGAGGTAGGGTTTTGGTGGGAGTGGGCTGGGTCATAGCTGTGAACTCCTCTCCGG